AGGAATGACAGCTATCTGGGTTTTTAATTCTCTTGCCTTATTCTTTATGGTTTCAGTTCTATGGGCACTAAACTGATCTAAAACCAAAAGAGAGGGTTTTTTTAAGAGTCCACCAGGTCGCCTCGCTCATACATTCTGCAACCACAGTTTCATTCCAGCTTCGTCAATCCAGCCTTTTAGTAGATGAACATGAACAATTAACCCGTTGGAAGTTTTTCTTTCGGATGAGTTTTTCTTTTGAAAATGAAAAACGGCGGTAGTTTTGTGCTGTCAGCACATGTTAGAACTACCGAATATCGGGTTTTTTAATGATCTGTGGTTTTTATGGTTATTGATTTAGACCCTTTAATACTCACAGTCTTGTTGGATGGTACATCAAATATGAATGGAATTTCATCCATATTTCCTATTTGACTGAGCTCAAAAGAAGTTTTCTTGCGTGCATTTATAACAAATCTATGAAATGCTAGCATTTTTTTCTTCATATCTGCTGGCATTTTCTGTACGGTTTGTTTTTTTGTGCGCATTGATATCCTTGCCTTTTCATGAACCTGTAGCACCAGCCCTCAGACCCTGAAAAGTTCTGATTCCATGTTTTTTCTGCAAATCCTTTGGCTCCATTGATTATCATTTTAGTTGAACCTTATCCCAGATTCCTCTTATCTATCACCACATTTTTTATGGCATTTTCAAGTTCAGGCCAAGACAGAGCTGGCATCGAGGGTTTTTTTTTTTTTAAGCAGTCTCAGTTGATCTTCTGCCTCACCAAGTATGTATAATGTTTTTCGGTAGGTGGCAGACCGAAATGCCTTGCTGCTCTTGTTTCCATGCACTTTGGCGTAGTTTACATCCTAGTTTATACTGAATTGTATAGCTTATCTCTTGTTTCCTGTAGTCAATTTTCCAGGGTATTTTTTTAAACAAAGTTTTTATAACCGATTTGACACGTTATCAGAGTAGCACCGATGCCGAAATTGCGTCGGCTGAGTCAAAGAAAATCCATGTAAAGAAGAAAGGCTCCATAAACGTAATGTACTGTCGAACCTGTTTGAACTTTGACATCACTTCGAGCTTTGCTTCTTTTGGTGACAGATATTTCACGCATGCGCAAATAATTATGCAGATGTAGAAAAAAAGTGTGTGTCTAACCTTTATCCGGCTAAATAGCATTCATTGAAAGTTAACCTGTGTCCTTCACATATAAGACGCAGGTAACTTTTTTTGAGACCAAATTTAGGAAAAAAAGTGTGTCTTATATGCCGTCAAATATGGTAAATAGCTAACTTTGCTTTTGCCAAGAACTGTTTCCTAAATTGTACTTTATAGCATTATAAAGTACAATTAATGATTTGAAATCTTGTATAGTAAGTTGCCAAAATGAAACCTATGCCAAAATGAAACTTGCCAAAATGAAATATGACAGCGAAAAATAAAATATTTTTATTTCAATATATCAGCATTATTTTAATGAAATTTATCAGTGCTACAATCTTTTACAAAAAATAGTAAAAAAATTACCAAATCTCGGAATTAAAATTTTCTATAGAAACTGATCTTAAAATCGCCAAATTTAGAACAGTTTAATAAAAGAATTCACATCCCCAAAAGCAGAAATTTGTTTAAGAGCTCTTAATTAGAAAAAATTAATTTCAAAATGCTTATGTTTCACCTCTTGCTTAAAAACACGAGTATCCCGCCATTTATATTAGAAATAGGAACAAATTATAACCCAATCATTCATTCAAAAGATAATCATATATCTCAGTGAATCTCCAAAAATATTCCTCCAAAATGCTAATTCACACTCAAAATGGCAGTCGTAAAATCAGATAGAAATTTCAGATGATTAAAATTCATTCCAAAAAAACTAAGGACCGTACGAACAGTGTTCATAGTTCTTCAAAAACTTCACTAAATTATATATATCCAGGATATTTACAGTCACATTAAGGAACTCAAATCTCCAGCCACTCTTTCTAAATGCCTGCATATAGCACCTCAAAGAAGATTATTTAGCTAATTGATAATTTAGCTGTTATAGAAGCTTATGTAATGTTTCTATAACTTACCACATGCTAGTAAAACTACCTATTTCCAATTTCCAAAATTCAAAAGATGACAGAAAGACATAAAAAGCAGTTGCTTATCATTAGACCAAGGATGGGCCACGAAGATCTTTTAGTGCATCACACAGGCAAGGCTGCCAAAAGGTGCGATAGTATTTGAGTGACAAATTTTTTTTTTGTGGTGCCTTTTTGTTTTACAGAACCTGATCAGGCATGGTGAGGGGAACATACCTCCAAGGTAAAGTTTAAAAAAAAAATTACGAATTTAAACCAAAAATGTGTGTACTTGATAACGTTCAGTTTCTTCTATCTGCATACACATTTGGCAGAAAAAGGGGGGCATCAATGATTAATCAAACATTTTTATAAATTTAAAACTTAGCATACATTTTTATTATATACACTGTATTGTAAAAACAATTATTAGGCGGCCAACCAGAATAGTGGTTAGTTTCTAAATCATATACTGAAAAAAATTAGGGGGGACAGCACATTACTGGAATACAATCGGCGAAACTTCAATCTTATTCGTTAAGTAATAGTTTTCATAACAGATAGTTTGCAAATCATCTTAGTATGCATGTTTAAAGTATATTCAGCACATATGCAAAACTGTTTTGCTTTGTATAGTATTACAAATATATTGATTTATGCAAGAAAGGGTTATTTATTTAAGTGTGCTTATGCTTGCCACTTGCCATTAAAAGGCAGAAATTTACAGGTAAACAGCACGGTAATTTAGTTTCAAATCCTGGCTACATTCTGCCTGTGGAATTTTATGAAAAGAATGGCCATTTTATTATATTCCAATAAATAAAAAAAACAAAGACAAATGCAGAAATTCCATCTGATATTTGTACAATGATTTATTTCCAATAGAAGGTGCCAATTCTACCCACATGAGCTCGACACTAGAAATAAGTAAACCAAATAACTATTATTAAAAAAAAAAAAAAAAAAGGGCAAATCTTTTTGCTCTCTAATCATTTGTTAATGATGTGATTTCTTCACTGTAGCATCATTTGATAGGTCTGGTAGCAGTAAAATATAATTTAATTTGTGGTTTTCTGAACAAAGTTCTTCAGTATGAATGATATCTTTGTCTTGAAAGAATTTATCACTATTTTTTGTAATTTAGCTATTGCCAAAACACATAATTCACATTTAAAAAAATCAACATTTTAATAAATAAGCAACTTACAACTGTTAAAGCAGAAAAAATTAGAGGTTTCATATTCATTTTTCGTGCTTATTTATAATGACATGAAATAAGATAGATTACCACATTTGGAGCTTTGGTACATAGTTACAATTTATACCCTGTTAACCAAAAGCACCTAATTTTTTAAGCAAAACTTGGGGGGGGGGGTCAAATAATGGTCAGAATCTATGTTAGCTCCTTTTTAACTTCTAACATCAAGTAAACTAAGACTATGTTACAAGCCCATCAATACATGGTCAATCTGATTCCATGTATTCCCATCTGGGGAGTGCCATGTACTTTTATGTATGTCTCTGAGCAAAACATGTGCTCCTAATGACCATTTCCACTTCAACTGCAGTCTAAACGTATATTTCTATTGTCACTGAACTTGTTCAGGCTATGTTTTCCATTATAGTTCTGTACATTATAATCTATACCTTCTCCACATTAAGATATCCTATAACCACTTTTATATCATTAGATGGGCATTTGTTGTAAGTTTCTTCCAGCTTTACATAAAACATCTCTTTTTCTGGTTCCACATTGTCCTCACTAGGTGCATGTGCACATATAATGCTCAAGTTTATGGTATGGTCTTTACTTGTATTTTACAATTCTTTTGTTAACAGGCTCAAAATCTATAACTTTATCTCAAATTCTTTTATTTACCATGGACCTTGTACAGAAGATGTTTATCTTGTCAGCCAAAATATAGGCCAGAACTTTTCTTGTCTAGTTTTCCTTTCCTAAGCATTTTATCTCCTGCACAGCCAATATATCAATTTTATATATAATAAATTTATCTATTAAATTTTTCAGTGCTCTACTCTTAAAACAGCACGAGTACATTCCATGGTTCAATCCTCATGTTGTCTGGATAAAGTTTGTCTGGTCGGCTTCATGCTCAGCCTTCAACCTAGAAGACCAGTCTTCTGATACCCGTAGGTGCAGGGTGTTCGGCTATACCCCCCAGACACAGGATACCTATTTTAGTCACCTTTTATGACATGCATAGGCTATGTTGGGACTATTCTTTCACACCTGGTCACCACACAGGTGTCTGATATAAAATACATTAATATTTAATTAGCTATAGTAAATTTTATATTCTTCTGCTAATTTTATTTTGTAATTGTTTTACACTTTCATACTCAACATTTTAAAATTTCAAATTTAAAAACATGGAAAGCTTTAATTTGCCAAATTAATTTTATTATTTGTTTTAAAAACGAGGAAAACAAATTTAATAAATAATGCACATACCATCGTGTAAATAAATTTAATGTAACCCTATATTGATGTAAAACAAAATTAAATACAAACATTGATTTATTAAACCTTGGTTGAATCTTTACATAAAGTACTATAAATTTCTACAGTAATAATACATTAGTAGAACTGAGACAATTCAGATCAAAGTTAAGGAAAATCACAAGGGTTATGAGAATGAAATATGGCCACTTTAAGTTTCATTAATTCAATAAATTTCATTTATGCAGTAAAATATTTCCTTTCACAAAGCCTAAAAATTAAAAACTGGGAGCTTCAGTGATCTACCGAAAGGTCAGGAATATCGGAGTTATGCCATATTATATCTGAAAAGTGTTTTCATTTGATATTTTGCTTAACCATTCTAGCATAAACAACCTAATTAAATAGTCAGGACATCATTTTATATACAAGCACAGTGGGACATGTACAATAATTTTATTATTGCAATAAATTCTTACCTTATGCCATTCATCAGAAATTGTTGGCTGAACATCAATGTTTGTAAGGGCTGCCTGAATGGCAGCAATAGCAATATGACTGGCTTGATAATCCAGACACTTTTTTGATGTGTAAAAGTCTGATATAATCTTCCACACACATTCCATATATGATTCCCAAACCAAAACTATTTTAGATAAAGGTAGAAGATTTCGAGAATAAAATGCAACATACTGAAAGAGAAAAGTAACAAATATTAAGTAACTATTGATTTTACATTTAACTTCGGAAAAATTCAATATTATCTAATTATCAGCACCTCCTATGAAAAGTAACTAACTCATGGGCAATTTTGTGACCTACCGGGCCCCCCACCCCCCCGCAAAAGGCTAAGAATATGAAAGAAACTGAGAAAAAACAAAAGCTTACAGGACCAATATTTACATATATTTGCAGCTGGTGGAATGGTTAACTCTCAGAAAGGTACTTGACATATTTTTCTATCAACAGAACTGGCAAAGATTCCACCAAGCTGTGGCAAAGCCTGAAGGAATACATTATTTATTTAGTTAAATAACTAATAGATACAAGTCACAAATATGGCAAATAAAACCTTAAATAACTATGAGCTCAGCTTCTGAGACTATCTGGCAAAGAAATTCATTAACCCTCTGACCAAAATGAGGGTTTTGCTGAGAAAGACATTTCCAAACACTGACACAAGAAAGAAGTATTTTCTTGATTTTTAATGCCAAAATGCCTAAAATTTTATACCTGGATTTATGCACTTTTAACATATTGCCTTAATTTCTAGGACATATGCCAAGGTGCATGTACTCTTAAAAATACACTTATATACACTTAAAAATGTCAAAAACATTCTACGCTGTATTTCTACAACCTTGTCAGTCAGACAATTAAAACTAGCACTAGTCATTCTGGTGACCAAAGATCCCTAATGAATTATAATGACAAAACTAAGAAATTGAAGTCACATAAATTCACCAAATATGAATCTAAGTAGTATCACAATCTGTTCCATGAACTCTTTGACAGTGCCATTTTGACAAATTATACAGTCTTTTAACATTCTAACTATATACATTGGTTTAACCAGCCTTGAAACTTTGAAAATACAGTGGTACTGGCATATACTGTCACTAATTCGTTTCAAATCCTGCTACGTTATATCAAACAAATTTGTCCAATATGAAAATTTGTTCTACTAAAAAAACCATACTGTTATTATTATAACATTATTTAACTCTAAAATACAAATGCAGTGATTGAAATATATACTTTACATAAATGAAGCACTACTCTTAATACTGTACTATGCACCACATCAAAAGCAATTTTTCAACATGATATAACATCTCCAATCTTTATTTGATAATCGACTTCAGTCCTTCCCAACATAAGCCAATTAACAGCATCGTTGTTTATCACTACCGTAGATACCACCATACTCAGCATATGGTATGCAACCGGCCAAATAACAGATATGTATGACATCTTCACAGTTTTCAACAAAGGGGTACTGTAACACAAGTAGACACTCATAGGCAATCGTAAGATTATCTCAAAAGAAGGAAACAAATGTTGCGCATGCAGTCATGACTAGATGAACTCTATTCATATTCCAAACAAATGTGAAGACATGAGAAAGAAACTGTCGTGTTTGATGACATTGTCAAAAATGATCAACAGCAAAATATGTAAGTGCCTTTAAGTGTAAATTCATGTGTACTCAAACCACAGTACCATCACCAAGTCTTTTGGAAATTAAGCTTTCAGGACCATCAATGAAAAAAAAATTAAGGACCTATCAGCAAACAGAACTTAATAAGTTAATGCAATCATCTATGCAACTGCCTGTTCTCCTGCAATGTTATTTTAAAAATTAAACAGGAGTATGTACATCATTATTACACAATATAATACTTAACATAAAAAAAGTTTAAAAGAAGTTTGAGAATAAAATCATTACAAATTTTCAAGTAGGTAACATTATAACAAATTTTTAAAACATGTATATTTTACACTTATAATACAAACGTGGGGAAAATTAAAGGAACAATTAGAAGAAAGGTGCTTATGCTAATTTTATTAAGTGAAGCTGAATGACAGGTCATTAGTTATCAGGTATCTCAAGGTCAACGTTGGGATTCATATTCACTACACTTATACATGCAAAATTTTTACACCTATTCTTTAAGCATATGTAGAAAGAAATGCAAGGGGTACTTCAAATTCTAATTTCAAAAATTGTTTGAGAAATGGGTAAATTTTTGTATGTGAAAGATTGAATACTTCATTGAGAAGGCATTTGATAGATTGTGAAGAACAATATGTGATTGGGAGAATGGAAGCAGGGCAAACACTAGCACAAATCTATATCGACTTAAGAATAGCAAAAAGTACCTTGTCGAGAACCTGAAAATTATTTTAAAAACTGCTCATATATGTAGACCAGGTCAAGGTTGAAAAGTGCCACACAAACAGCCTGTTTAGAGCTCTTATTTGGAAATGATTTCTAAAAGAAATAGGAAAATGACCCCAGTCCAGACAGCAAAGGAATTCACTGCAGCTACAGGAGCTTGAGTATCCAAATAAACCAAGAGTGACAAATTGTATAAAAGGGGCCTGTATGCAAGGAAATTCATGATCTACTTCCTACTCCGCTAACTTAGGTTCCGAAATGCACCAATTCCAGTTGTGGTGTAGAGATTGTCATGATTTAAAGTACCGAAGACTAGAGCCAAATTCTGTTTACTGATGACTCAGCTTTGTTTGGAGCATGATTCCAGACACATTACAATCTGGAGAGATAAAAATACATGCAATAAGGCTGCAAACAATCAGGAAAGGGACCAGTACAAAGGTTACTAAATCAAAGTGTTGTGTAATTTGAAGGAAAAGGCTAGAGGGCGCTGTTGCTCGCATAGTTAAGGAAGAAAATAAAGTTTGTTCATGTTGAAGGCAGCGGCCTAAGAATATGCTCTGTATATAGTGAACATAAAATATTGTTAAAAATGTAAAAGTGTTAAAATTAGTAAATTCACTGAACCACCATCACCACCATGATTTGGAAATGCAAATTGCAAAAATTATTAGATGGTGCATGCGGCGTAAATTAAGGCTTTGTGAAGATTTTAGGTGTTCGATCTAAGTGTTTCGATTTGAATTTAACAATGGATATTTCATATTCAAGGGACAATGGAATTCCAAATAAAGGTAGGGAAATCTTAAATTTATTATTTAGTGATTATTTATAGTAAATTAGTAAGTATTTATTATCGCTGTCGTGGGTGTATTTAAATTAAATAAAATGGAAGATAAGTTAGATAGGTTGAAACGTAAACGTTCCACATTGAGATCTTCTGTTGCTAGGTTAATTAAAGTGATTGAAGATAAATTAAAAATTGAAGGGGAGGAAAATTTGATTAAAAAAGTACAAGAATTGTTTGAATTATTAACAGAAAAGAAAAAATAATTTGAGAATGCTTGATTATGAAATACAAGAGTTAATTGATGTTAACTTAATTGAAGAAGATTATAGTATAAGCGAAGAATACAATGACAAATGTATAATAGCTTGTAGTCAAATTAAGCAGTTTCTAGGTGCGGTTACCGCAGTACCACCAGCAAGGAATCCCCAAAGTTCCGATTTAAACCAGTCTAGTGGTAATGGAATTTTGCATGTAAGTTCCAGTTCCAGTGGGAGTAGTACGCTAAAATTACCAAAATTAATGATTGATAAATTTTGGAGAGACCCCAAACAATGGAATGAATTTTGGAATAGTTTCGAAAATTTGATAGATAAAAACGAAACGCTTTCAAAAATACAAAAATTTGCATACTTAAAAAAAACATTCTTAACGGGACAAGCTTCGAATGTTGTTCCAGGCCTTTGAATTAACAGAAAGTAATTATGATAGTTGTGTAGCATCACTAAAGGACAGATATGGTCGAAAAGACCTGATCATTAATTCATTCATGAATAAAATTCTTCAATTTAGAAGCCGTTAAAAATTCTGCTAACGTAAAGACTTTACGTAAATTGTATGATAAATTAGAAGTTTCGATTCGTAATTTGGAAGCTTTAGAAGGTAACTTCTGGCTCATATGGACATTTACTAATTCCAATATTATTAAAATTAATTCCGGAACGATTTAGTTTTGGAATTTAATCGGCAAAGAGGATCGAAAGATAAAGTTGAAGTTTCGGAAATTAACACAATTTATTAAAACCGGAAATAGAATGCAGGAAGTTTCAAATCTAGTATTAAATGAAAGGAAAATCCTGTGCCTCCGCGAGTTCGATCAATCAAAATATGAAACTAGAAAATATGTAAAAAAATACACCCATACGGCTGCATTTCATCTTCTGCAGTTAACCGAAAATGCATCTTCTTGTGATAATTTGCACGAGTCATTTAAATGCGAAGTGAATGTTTCTGATAAATTAAAGAAACTAAGATCCAAAAACCAGCTGCTATTCTTGTTTTAAAAAATTTCATACATCAAAAAAGTGTAGAAATAAAAACTAAATGTAATACAATGTGGCGAAACGTATGTATCACAATGAATCGATTTGTACTAATAAATCCCTTGTAAACAAAAAGTCAGAACAAAGGTTATTTCGAAAATGAAACTGAATCTCTGACTTTGAATTCTGAGGAAAGAAATAAAGTTCAAAACTTAAAATTGATTGCTTCTGTTCCTCAAGGTGATAATAATAATGACTGCAATGCCAGAGAAATATTATTACAAACTTGTACAGTTTATGCTTGCTCTAAGTATAAATCAAAATTAACTAGGTTAATTTTTGATCAAGGCAGTCGCAGATCCTTTATAACGAAAACATTGGCTGACTATTTAAAACTTACTCTAATCCGTTATGAAAGACTTTCTGTTTATTCATTTGGTGCCACGAAGGCAATGAATCATTCCTATCCAGTAGTTGAAATCCAAATTCAGAATTGGAAACAAAATAATAAAATAAAAATTGAATGTTTGATCTCGGATGTTATTTCCTTGAGGCCCATCAGTGTGCCTAGTAAACAAATTGCAGACTTTATGGAGTGTCTGGGTTGCAGATCGCGGATTGCTCAAGAAAAAATAACACAGATATAGAGATGTTAATTAGCGGGGATGAATTCTGGAATGTAGTTTATTCAGAAAGAAATAAATATCTGAAGGGTTGTACACAGTCAGTTCTGTGTTTGGT